CTCAACGATGAATAAATATTATTAATCAACTTAAGACAGAAACTTGACAAACAAGTCATGAAACAAAAAAGGCAAATATTCACTGTATATTAACCATTTGATTAATCCATTTGATTAATCATTGAGGCTTTGGGTTTTGATTAAGAGCCATGTTTAGAGAAAAGCGACCGGTTAGGAAAACGATGAACTTTCTTATGCTTCCTCATGACTTGCTTTTGAACTGTTAAGCCCGCGTCTCGAGATTGTACTATCCGACTCTCTCTTTAGTTTCCAAGAGATTCTGTTCTCTGATTGCTTCGATGGAGCTTTATGAGACCCGAACGCTCTTAGGCTGCACCAGAGAGTTGTCTCTATGTGTTTATTCGGTTCCCTCATGACTCTAATCCAACGCGTTGGTTTACTCTCTGCCGCCGGAGACAGACGACCGATACGAATCAGTAATCGTAGCTATCCTATCTTTAGGACAACAGGATGCATCATTGGTAGGAAGAACGAGGAGAAATCAAGTGACAATCTTCTAATCTCTGTCCCAACTCGCAATTATTTTCATATGGATTGGTCGAGTCCTATCACAGTTGGTCATTATATCTACAAGATTGGTGGGCTCATCAATGGCTTACCATCTTCTAAGGTCTTCTTCATGGATTGTCGGTCTCACACGTGGCAGGAAGCTCCAAGCATGCGAGTGGTCCGGAAGTACCCTCATCTGAATGTTCTTGATGGGAAAATATATGTAGTGGATATATAGGTCCAAAGATCTCAATCCCTCGAATCTCATGCCCTGATGTGGAGATAGGCATGACTTCTATATCCAAAAGCTTAGCCATCAAAGGAAAAATTTACATGTTTGGGAACAAGAGTGTGGTTTACAAGCCCAACGAAAAGAGATGGGATGAGGTAGGACTAATGGAGGATATGCGTTTTTGGGATCTTAATTCTGCTTACGTGATAGATAACGTTATGGTTGTTATCCAAAGCTCATATGGTACGACTTTGAGGGAAGATCTTGGAGAGATTTGACGGGTTTGGAAAAACTGCCGACATTACCAATGGATTATGAATGTGTTAAATTGGTGGATTATGGCGGAAAGATTATGGTTTTGTGGGAGAAACGTAAGGGTAAGAAGAAGAAGAAGTTTTGGTGTGCTGTGATTTAGCTTGAAAGGCACAACGAACATGAAATTTATGGGAAGGTTGAGTGGTGTGATTTTGTGCTTACGATCCCCAAATCATGTTCTGTTTTGAAATTACTTGATGTTACTCTTTGATGAATCTAACACATGAGCCAAACATTGTAGTATCATCTTGTTTTCAATTTTATGAAGGATTTTCTGCTTCACTTGGAAGTTGTAAACATCTTTTCATTACGCTATATTGTCCTATTTTCTAAGTGTTCTGTTTTGGTTAGTTCTCAGTTATGCTACGATTCTCTCTTTAACACTTGTTATTATAACTAAAACAATGACGTGAAATACAAGGTAAGGATTTACAAAATCAGAAACCAAGACACCAGTAGAGAATATTAGTAGTTTATCATTCTATCCGAAAAATACAAATATACATGCACAAAGCTTAAAATGAATAAGTATCTATTAATTTTTTTTTTTTTGCAGTTTGTTAATAAATTCACGAAAACATTATGTAGATTATGGTATATATCTCTTTTCATTAAACACAAAGTTTCAATTAAAAAAACAAAAAAAAAACCGTGTAGTTGTAAAAACCTAATTGCTCTTTTTTTTTGTTCTTCGTTGCTTTCGCTTGCACCACCGTATAATCTTTTTTATTCATGGTAAGAGAAGTTTCTCTGGTTTTTTCGGATTCATTGCAGGCTTTGGATTTTGATTAAGAGCGTCTAGAACCATGAACGGAGAAAAGCCACCGGTTACGAAAACTATGAACTTTCTTATGCTTCCTAACGATTTGCTTTTAAACTGCTTAGCCCGCGTCTCGAGATTGTACTATCCGACTCTTTCCTTTGTTTCCAAGAGATTCCGTTCTCTCATTGCTTCGATAGAGCTTTACGAGACCCGAAGGCTCTTAGGTTCTACCGAGAGTTGTCTCTATGTGGGTTTACGATTCCCTTGTAACTCTAATCCAACACGTTGGTTCACTTTGTGCCGGAGACCAACTCAAATCTCTAACCCTAACCCTAACCCTAACCTAAGTCACGATACTTCATTCTAGAGTCTAGGAAGAAAGAGAAGAGGTCAAGTGACAATCTAATGATCTCTGTCCCAACTGGCAATTGTCGCAGTTGGTCATAATATATACATGATTGGCGGATATCTCAATGAGTCACGATCCTCGTCTATGGTCTTTTCATGGATTGTCGGTTTCACACGTGGCACGAAGCTCCAAGCATGAGAGTGGTCCATGAGTACCCTTTTGCCAGTGTTCTTGATGGGAAAATATATGTAGTGGATAGGTCCAAAGGTGTCAATCCCTCGAATTGGATCTTCGATCCCAAAACCAAAAATATGGGAGCATGTGCCAAGCCCTGATGTGGAGATACGTATGAGATTTATATTCTGATAATCATATATTTTACCACTTTGAGTCTCATAATTTCATTCATTTTCTTGTATTTATTGTGGTTTTCATGATGTTTTTGTTGCATTTAGGTAGTACGAATGAGTTTTGTTGCATTTTAGGAGTCCTAGAGTGTTTTTGTTCTTGTTTTTGGTCTTTTTGTATCCAATTAGGTATTTTGGAGCATTTTGGATTAAAGGAGATGCATAGAGCGTCAAAGAAAATGGAGATACTCTTGTCAATAAAGAGTCAAGAAGATGTATCTCAAAGATCATGTTGGACGAAGGTCTTTTCGTTGGTGTATTGAGCTCAAATTTGGTCACAAGATGGGAAAATGAGTTGGCTTTCATTTGGAGTTGGATTGAAGTCATTCGGATCATTGGTTTGGATATTACATTCAATTTAGTAACTGCATATCGTTCTGGCCAAAGAAATTGTCTACAGTTGACTCAGAGTTGACCAGTGGACCCCAGTGTTGACCAGACTTGACCCATAGTTGACCAGATCCGACCCAGGTCCGAATCCGACCTAGTTCGCGTTTTTGCTCTAAAAACCCTCATTTTCCATCATTTTGGGAGAGAAACATTTGGGGGAAGACAAAGGAGGCTAGGGTTGAGAGCAAACACCATTTGGAAAGGCTTTCATGGCCTAGAAGATCCCAAACAATGGAGATTTGGAGGATTTGTGCATCAATTTAGAAGATTTGAAGATTTCCTTCATCCCCACTATTTGGATTTGTTTCTCAAACATTTATCTCTTTTTCTTTTGATGTTTTCTTTGATTTTAATGTTGATTTGGGTTGCTTAGACTTTGTTTTAAGGATTGAGTGTGAACCCATTTGGAGATTTGATGGATTTAATTTCATTGTGTTTAATGCTTCTCTTACTTACAAATTTGCCATGGAAATAGGCTTAGATGTATGTTAGAGATGATTCTAAAGAGAAATTGATGTTGGGTGATTCTTAATTTGCTCTTAATGCTTGTTAATCTTGATAATAACTAATGGAAGTTGGGATTTGTTTAGATTTGACATGGAATTTGGATTGGGAATCATTGAGCTTATGGCTTCCTTTTTATGTTCTTGTTGATTGACACCTAGAGCATGATTAAGATTCTAATGAACTCATGAATATATCTAGTGTAGGTTTTGGGTTTATGCCTTCTTTGAATCATTTTCTTGATTGATCACCTAGGATTTGTGATAGGATTTAAATGGACTCATGCCTTTAATTCATTGTGCTTAACAAGATTTGTGTTCTCTTTGGTATTGGTTTGATGATATCTTCATAATGCTTGTTTGAGATTCATGACCTCAAGCATGTTATGTTGAGTGTTGCATCGCATAGGGATATGGGTGTTCACTTAGAGCCAAGATCATTGATTAGGGGGTTTGAAGCCAATCGGAAGATTATGGAATGAATCTCTCTAGGAACACGATTTAGGCCTCATTCTTAATGCTCCTTATGAATTCTTAGTACCAAGTGGAAGCTTAGGTTTCTAAGATTCGTTAGGTTAGCTTAGCTAGATCATGGACGTGGGTAGTTAGAACATTAGATGTCTAAGTTCCTCATTATGCACAGAGCACTACACAAATCTCATCCTTAGAACTCTAGAGAGTATTTCCCATAGTATTCCAATTATTTTCAAGTGTGGTTACACTTAATTCCTAGAACCCGAAAACATTTATCCCTTTTGTTTTCTCCACTATTTTTAGGA